AAGGGGGAACTACTGTACCTAGGTGGGATTGGGCAAGTCACCAATAAGAAGGGTATTGTTGTTTGTATCTGCAAGATGAGAGTGTTGGACTAGGTGGAATGATTCAGGTTTCTTTTCATAATTAGAGTTCTCTTCATTCTGTGTTCAGTTCTGTAACATGGTATCAGAAACTTTTTTATCCTAGTTTTTTATTTTAAATAATTTAAAATAGTCCTTAAAGTAGAACAGTACAATGAACACCCAGGGACCCATCAAACAATCTCAGCAATCACCACTCCATGGCCAGTCATACTTCTTCTATACTTCCATCCACTTACCCCTCTTCTGTATTATTTCAAAACAAATCCCTGACATTAGACTCTCTTTATTAACATGATCCCTCTGTCATCTGTATTATTCGTACCTTGAGGTCTTAAAAATTTTATTTAGATTTTAATAAGACTCAAATTGCCTCACTGTTTCTATGCTTTCCATTTTTTAATTGAAATTTTTTGAGATAAATATAGGTTCACATTCAGTAATAAGACATAACAATCATATCTACCCTTTACCTAATATCCCCCAGTGGTAATTTCTTCTGAAATTGTAGTATAATATCAGAACCAGGATGTTGACATTGATTTAATTCACTGATCTTATTCAGATTTGCCTAGTTTTACTTATACTCATTGTGTGTGTCTGTGTGTGTATGTTTGGTTCTGTACAGTTTTATCACATGTGTAGGCTTACATATCCACTACCGTGGTCAAGGTACAGAATAGTCTCATCACCACAAAGATTTCTCATGTTGCCCTTTTATAACCAACCCTCTGACCTCCAGTCTCCCAACACTAATTTGCTCTTTGTTTTTTCATTTCAAAAGTTTTGTCACTTCAAAAATGTTATATAAGTGGAATCATGCAGTATATAAACTTTGGAGATTGACTTACCACTTAGCATAATTCCCTGGAGATTCATCCAGGCTGTTGTGTGTCAATCATTTGTTCCTTTACATTTCTAAATACTATGGTATGGATGTACCACAGTTTGTTTAACCATGACCTATTGAAGGACACCCCACTGTTTCAAGATTTTTGCTATTCTGAATAAAACTGCTGTGAACGTTCATGCACAGGTTTTTCAATGCTCTGGGATAAATGCCTGAGTGCAGTTGGTAGGTTGTATGGTAATTATGTGTTTACTTGTATGAAAAACTGTCATAATGATTTTCCAGAGAGGCTGCACACTGTTTTATATTCCAATCAGCAATATATGATCTAGTTTCTCTGTATCTTCACCAACATTTGGTGGTGTCCACTATTTTGTTGATTTTAGCCATTCTGATAGATATTTAGTGATATCTCATTATAGTTTTAATTTGTATTTCCCTGATGGCTAAGGATACTGAATATCTTCTTTATGTGCTTATTTGGCATTGCTATATCCTCTTTGGTGACATTTTGCATCTTTACTCCCTCCTCCATTTACTTGTTTTTAGTCTTTGGGATGGGGTGGGATTGCTGGTAAATTACCTATGAAATTTGTTATAATATACTTAGAGAGGAGGAAACAGATCTTCAGACTGAAATAGAAAATGTTGCTTACTAGGGTTCTCAGCTCTGTACTAGAATCTCCAGGAATACGAAAATGAGTAAGACAAGAACCTTAGTTTTGAAGTTCTAAAACCATCTGGCACTTTTAACTGGAAAGAGAAGCAGAAAATATGTGGAAGTCTGAGACTTCCAAATTGCATGACTTCAAGGAATGATATTTTTATGGACATAATAAAGGTGGCGACGACTGATGGAAAGATCCTAGCAGACACAAATCAAGGACTCAGATTCATCTAATATGAGTAAAGCATGCAAAAATGTCATTGAACATAGACGACTGCCCAGAGCAACACTGGGTGACATAGTAACAGTCCTAATTAGAGGACAAGTACCCCTGACATTCACAACCCACAAAGACTCTCAGCTGCCAGTGAGAACAATGACTGGAGTGAGACTTCTAACAGGCTTTTCAAGAAGCTTGTTCTGTCCCCTCTCTCTGATTTCTTGAGCCTCCTACCTGTTCCAGAGAATATGGATCTATGCCTAATTGATCACCAGTTGCAAGTACCTGGTGCCAATCCCAGCACATTCCTGAGTGCATAAGTTGAGTTTAGGTAAAGGATATTTTTTTCCAAAAATTGTATCTTTACTAGCAGCACTGGGTCTCAGGCAGTCTATTTCTGCACTTTTCTGCAGAAATTAATGACCCAAATCCTTCGATTCAGTATGCACTTAGTGATGGTCTAAGAATAGAAATTGCGCAATAGAGAAGATTAGAGAATAAACACACACACACACACACACACACACACACACACACACACACCCCAAATTTATGGTATGGTGACATTTAAAATCAATGGAAAAAAGATGGACTATTGAAATCATCTGGGAAAATTCTTACCTCACACTATATACAAAACCAAAGTCAGTTGGATTAATGATCTAAATTTTAATTTAAAAAGGTGTGTATATAGTAAAGGAATTTAACATCTTTATAATTTGTAAGACTGAGGTGGGGTACAGCAGGAGGCCTTCTGATGAAAACATGTAACTCAGAAACTTTAAACAGAACAGGTACAGATTTGATGACATAAAAGTAAAAAAAAAAAAACTGTGATAAAAAAGTACAACAAACAATTGAAAGAAAACAGAAAGTGTTGTATATATGTGTGTGTATATGTGTATATGTTTTACACATATCCTTGCACACCTCTGTTTTACTATGGTGTAGACATATATTTTTATCTAATAGTAAGTTATTATTTCCAGTATACAAGGAGTTTATATAATTCAATACAAAAAATGCAAACAGAAAATAAAGAATAAAAACAAGCAAATCATGGGAGAATGCCAATAACCAATAGACATATGAATAGCTATTCACCTTCACTAGTGAGTAACCAAGAAACTAGAAATTAAAACAATGAAAAGTTGACACTTAAAAATTCATCAATAGGCAAAAATTAAAAACAATATTTGGTATTTATTAGATATAGGAAAAGGGCAATCTTTGACATTTTTGCTGGGAATATAAACTGATACATCCTTTTTCTGAGGATAGAATTTCTCAGATTCAGTATCTCTTGAAATTTAAAATGCTCAGACTCTTTGATACAGTGATTCCGCCTTTAGAAATCTGCACCATAGAAAAATACAGGTGTGCAAGGGTATATGTGCTGTGATATTCATTGCAGCCTTATTTGTAAGTAGCAGAAAACTATAATCAACCTAAAATATCTAGCAATATGGAAATGTTAAAAAAAAAAAACAAAACTATGGTGTGGCCATGCAATGAAATATAGTGAAGGCATTAAAAGGCACTAAATCTATAGCAGTGACTTGGCAGCACGTGGCAGGATGCCCATGAGTGAAAATATCCACTCTAGGAGCATATGTATATATAGTAGAATATAAGCAGGGGCGGGGGTGGCGAGGAGGTGTATATGTGTCTATGTATGTATATGTGTTTGTGTGCCAAAAATCAAAAAGTCTAAAAAAATACACTCTGGCCCGTTAAAGATGGTTACAAATCTTAGGTATAGGAGTGCTGGGATGAGGGGAGTTTTATTTTTTCTTTTGTGTGTTTGTGCAATATTTGTAATTTTTCACCATCAAGATAGAATTATTTTATGTTAAGAAAGAAAGGAAATTATAAATGCTAAGCAAACCAATTATTGACCAAAAAGAAAGAATTAGTTTAAAAGAATTGATGTAATAGAAGGTACAGATACTTATGCCTACTGAAAATTAAAAAACAAAACAAAATAGAAAAATATTTTTCTTGCTACTGTATTAATTCTCTGTGTCTGGGATATTTATTTCTGTGATTTCTTTCTGGTTATTTTATTGTGTTTAATTGATAGTGTTTACTGGAGTTTAGTGAAAAATATTTTGTAAATATCTCCACTTGTGATTTATCCATTGTAATATCTCCCCAGTGAACTGACTGTGAGTAGGGAATTACAGAATTATCTGTAAAGGAGATACAGATCTTGAAAGTAGTCTGGGGCTTTGCTTATCTCAACAGAAAACCTTATTTCATATTGATAAAGTGTGAAATCTTTCCTTAGTTATTTCTGATTGTTCATTGTTGTCACTGTTTTAATGAGAGGTAGAAATGAGCTAAACCAACCTGCTTCATTCCTTCTAGTACTAATTTAATTTCAAAGGAAATTCTTCAACCCCAATAAATAAGTGAATGTGAATGGAACCATGCCCTGACTCACTGTGTCCAATACGTTCTTTTAAAAGCCCTACACAAAATAAAAAAATCAACCAGTAAAAAAATAATTAGGTGAGAAGTGAGATGACTATCATCATCTCTGCTTACAAAACTCTATTTAAGTTGACATAAATATTTGCCATCTACTCTATCATAAAATCAAGATTTATTGTAGAAATATACCAAAGATAGCACAATAATGAAGAAAACAGAATCATCTCAGGTTTTGAAATATACCTAACAGATTCAACCTCTTGCAAAATAACTTTCTTATTCAAAATGGAACTGGGAATTGTTCAGCACACAATGAATCATCTTTTGGCAAGTACAATAGAATCTTTAGGGACATTTCACAGCCTCTTGTTCAATTGTTAGGATGTTTTTAGCTTTCACAGGTAGGGAAGAAGGTAGCTTGTATAGCCATCATCTTGTTGCTAAAATTGTACGGTAAAGATTTTTCAGGCAATAGATCTTTGCATTTTTTTCTTTGTTTTTCTGTATCCAGATCTGCTTTGTCCCTCAAAAACAATCTGGAATTACTTAATGCTAATGTTTTCTGGTTTTACTATTTACCCAGGACTCAAATGTTAAACATTAATATGGGAAACTCCCTTTTCCTTGCCTCATAGCTTTATATTTATTTAACTGTTATTTTGCAAGAGGAAAATCTCCTCTTTTCCTCTCTATGTTAATACTTTTCTTATTAACAAACCCATTTTGTTTCTGTTTTTGCTTTTTTTCAGGAGGCTTTTGAGCTACCCTCAGATGATTGTGAAGTGATTGAAGCTCCAGCAGCATCCCAAGTGATTAAATATGAGTATCATGTCTTATATTCCTGTAGCTACCAAGTGCCTGTACTTTACTTTAGGGCAAGCTTTTTAGGTAAGACCATGTCTAAAGCTAAAAGTAAATTTATAACATTTACATATAAAGCAAAAAGCATATTTGGAAAATTATTCTCCAGAGGGAAAGAAAAATAGAGTTAAAAATAAGAAAACTGTGGGTGAGGTAAGGTTTTACCAGTAAATTTTCGCATGCTTCAGAAAGGGTATCAAGACTTCAGCATGAATGATATCATCCTAGCCTTAAGTCTGATCTTCAAATTCTTGGCCTGTTGACTAAGCCCCCTGGCCCTTTTTCTTTACTTTAAACAAGTAGGAACAACTTAAAGCTACAATGTTTATTTACTTCTAACTTTACAGTAAAAATTTATTTTAATCTCAAATGATCCCATCAACTCAGAAGCCCCTGTGCCTGCTTCCCCACAAGCTAATAATTAAGAAATGTTTATCAATTAGCTTAAGCTGTATTTAAAAATAGCACTAACATTTCCTTCAGCCATCTATACATCTCCCATGCCTTAGCTTCCTGTGATGCTGTTACTCAACTCATTCCCCTGCCAAGAAGGTGGAACACCCTGTCTCCTTGGAGGCCTTAGCTAATAAAGCTTATTTAATCAGCAGCCACATGGCGTCCTCACCCTGCAGCACAGCCATTACTCCCCGCTTGCAGTTCACTGCCTAAACCGGGTCAGCATTGGGATGTGTGCTGCCACCCAGGCCCAGGGACCAAGATGAGCCTCCTGTTCAGCCAACCTCCTGCCCTATTTCTCCCTTTGTATCTGGCCTTATCAGCAGCATTGTTCATTTTGAACAGCCTTCTAACTTTTTTCTGGATAGCTAAGACATCTGAATTTAGCCAATGATATTTTATTTTTAATTAAAAAGTAGCTTAAGCTGCTTGAATATGTGTTTGGTAGATTTAATCACTTGCTGCCTTATATTGTTTAATGGTCTCTAATTTTGCAGTGTTGGCGGTTTAACAAGCACTTAGGATTTAAAACACAAGAAGAAATTCTCATAGACTCCCTGGTGAGAAGATTTTAATCTGAAGTGCAGTTCCTAAGAACTGACAATTTGGGGAAAATTTTCAACATGGGACATGGGGAATGGAAGACACTGATAGTTCACTAATTCACAAACTCTTGCTGTGGATTTATCCATATAATTATCACAAGCCTTTAAAGCACTCATTTTACGGTAATTATATTTGGTTTAGAGCCCAGAGGTTAAAGAAAGTTTCTTGTCAGTGAGCTGTGCTTTACTAAAAAGTAGGAAATATATTTGTTTATTCAGGGGTGGAAAATGTCTTTTCTTGGTTCTGGTTTACAGTGGCTCTACCTTCTAGATTCAGAGATAAGTTGAGGCTGCAGGTAGAGGAAATAGGACACTACTTCTTCAATACTGTACTTTCATATAATTAGTATTCGCCATAAGTAGTTAATCACCAGAGAAGAGCTCCCAGAGACAAAACAAGTTGTTTAGCTTGTCAGCATTAGGGAATCAGAGGTGTTGAAACATGACTGCTTCTAGCTGGAAGTGGGTCTTGCCAAGGCCGGCTGATGAGCTCATATGTGTGCTTTGCTCTTATGTGCCAACAGCTCCCCTTACAGTGCAGCACAGTAATTGTTCCTGCAAGTCCAATTATATTTTAATGACATTGGTGTAGTTTCTGTGATCCTTTCTTCATGATTTTCTATTCTTTAAAAGCAACACAATTTGTATTCTTGGCTTCTATTTGTATACTTTTAAGATGCCCTCTATTTATGCCTAATAAAGGTAAACCAAAACAAGTCATTTATTTTTATATAGAAGCGTTCACTTCCCCACGACCACTGCTTTGTGTTGTATAGAGTGGGTATTAAGAATTTAAAAATTCATTTCAGCCCAGAATTCATTTAGTGCTTGTTCAGGTACATTAAAATACTAAATTTAATTTTTGTGAAGCGTAATGAACGTTTTCTGGTAGAGAAACATGAAGAATCATTCTTTCTTTCCTTTATCATATACTAATAATTTATTTTTCCTTTCCACCTAACTTAACCTGATGGATATTTTTAAAATGTATCAACCTTTACTCTGAAGTCACAATTTTTCATTTATTCCCCTCAGTCTTTCTTATTCTCCTTACCTTTTCTTGTGGTGTCTGATTACTCTGGACCTTCATCTGTTTGTTAAACAAATCTCTGTCAGTGCGGTGAAAGGATTCCTAATGTCTTCCTCTTATTCCAGGCCCGGATTTTTCTTTGTCTCATTCTAAGAGAGTTCCGACCTAGAAAGAGGATGACTGTAAAATTTCTTGCCCAGGGGTCTTTTTTTTTGTTGTTGTTGCTTCAAAAATAGTTCACTTAGCCTTGTTTTTGACAGGTATTTATAATTTCTTTTGCATTTCATTGTTAGTAAAAATTAATTTCTCTGCTTTGCTTTAAATTTTTTCCCTGTACCTTTTTTTTAAAGAAAAGCAAAACAAGTAATAGTTTCCATTTAAATTTACATTGCCCTTTACTTTATCAACTGGTTTAGATTTCAGAAGAAATCTTTACTCTGTTTCTCAAAACGTAAATCCCTTAGACTTTGAGTTCCTTTTATTCCTTTATATGGTCCAGTTTCCACCAGGCCAATTACTAGTAGCCCAGCCTCAACTCACATGCCATTTATTCTTGTCACTTCCATGTCATATTATATCATATATCATATCATATCATATCATATCATATCTTCTTTCATATCACAAGTTGTACTGTAGCAGAAATAATTGTTTATATCTACAAGATTATATGCTAGAACATAGAGCTTTAAGGTAAAAAAAAGAGTGAAGGAAATTGATATTGAGTACCTACAAAGTGAGAAGCTTTATGGCTTTGTGTGCATGCGTGTATAAGCCATATACACACACATATGTGCATACACACAAAACCATAAAAGCTTATACATGCATATACACAAAGCCACACACACACACACACACACACACACACAGCCATATACATACACACATATATATATGTATATATATGTGTATGTATATGACTTTTTCAACTGTGGCACAGCATCAAGTATTTGTTAAGTGAACCAATAATGAAGAATTTCTAGCATTTAAAAATATAGCCCCACAATGGAAACATTGTGATAGTGCCCACTTTAACTGTTAAGCCAGGTTTTAAAAGAGGAAGTAATGCTGGCGTCTCCAGGAGACCTACGACCCAAACCATCTATGTGTCTTTATTCTTTAGTCTGATAATTTTCCGAGACTATAGGAGTAGTGGACTTAGAAAAATGGAACATCCTGAGGACTTAAAAGTAGGTATCCAAACTAGCTGAAGCAGCTGTTCCACTTCTATAAACACATATTTTTATTTAATCCTTGAAGGCAGACAGCCAAGTTGAGACAGCATTCTGCTTCAGTAGAAATGAGATGCCTCTCATTTCTACTACCTTGGTGTACAGGAGCTCAGTTATCAAGTGGATAAGAGAAGAAATAAGTCCTTCCATCCCAATGTTCTGTTTTTCTCTAACCTTTGGTCGTTGTAGGTTTGGGAGAGGTAGTGGTACACAGTTAATACCATTTGTCACTCAGGAGAGGGTGAGATGTAATTGCACTTTAGTTGAGTAATAATAAATAGCCTACACTGGAATAGTGCCTTGTAGTTTAGTAAATCCACTCCCACAAAGCATTGACATCTTCAAGTGCATGCTGTTTTTTTCTCCCCCACTGTTTTTGAAGCACACCATATTAAAGAATTTTTTGTGTCATGCCAAAGCCTTCTATCCACTCCCTATCATTTTTATTCCCTGCCTTTTTTATGTCTCATTTTCCCTTTTGAGGCCTCAATTTTGATCAAAAGCTGGTGGCAAATGTTACAAAGGTGGTAAAACCCTTAGGCACATACATAATGGCTTTTTGCCTTACCAGAGGCCTCGGCTTAAGTATTTTCTTCCTACATTTAGCGAGAGATTTCCATATTTATTTCATCTTGAATTCTGATTTATTTTTTTCTTTTCCTTTGTTCTCAATCTCTATTGAAAAATCGACCAAGTGGTTCTTCTCATTTTCAAAACATTTCATTCTCTGGATAATATATGAGTTCTTCCCGAGAGTTGTTTTGACATATTTCTTTAATTAGTCAGAAGGGCTGCATTTGAATAGAGGAGGAATCATCTTTTCCTCCATTCAGCAAAGGAATGGCTGTCCTTTCTGGAGGCCATTCTATTATTGGCCCAGGAAATAAGGGTATACAATTAAAAATGTGGCCTAAATTTTTCACGTGCAGGATTTGTCCACTTGTTGTAGACCTGAAGGATGCTCATAGAGAAACAGGACAAAATAAATAGTCAAAGAATAATTCCGTCTCAAAGGCAGCATAAACCAAACTAAGATAAGGCCAGGATAAAGAAAGAATGATGGAAAGTTTGGAATTAAGGCAGCATATAAATCATCAAGGAGGAAAAGGATTGTCCGTGATTTTCAACAAGAGGAAGTCTTTGGAGTACATAGAGGTGAATGACAGCAAAACAGGAAAGATGGGTGTTTGGAAGAAGCTGAAGAATAAAAGTAGAATATCCATAGCTCTGTCCAACAACCTGTGGAGGACAGCCACCGGTTGGGTTTCTTGAAGAGGTTAGGAAAAGCATTGGCAAAGGGACGGAGAGTGAGTGCCAAGCTGTGGGGGTTGGAGAGAGCCCAGCATATCTGGGAAACAGTGAAGGACCAGTTTGGAGAAGGGGTTCACTTAGGATGAATTATGGAAGAAATGGTTGAAAAGGTATGTTGAGGTCAAATTGCGGAAGAAAAATAGAAAGGAAGGGATTGGAAGAAATAAAGAAAAAGTGAAAGAGATTGAGCAGAAGTGAATGAGACCAGAGGAAGGATTTCCTAGAAATTGTGACTGAGTAAAACAGAAAGAAAAAGATTAAAGGGTGAGAATGAAATTTGAAAAATAAAAAAAGAAATTTGGCTTTTTTATTATTGTTGTTATTAACTTAATAAAAATTTAAAAACAATAACCTTTTAGAGAAAATGAGTTGGAAAGAACATATTTTCAG